CCCATTCTTCTTCTATGCTATCAGGATCCAAGGCGAAACTAAAAAGCCGTATACTGCATTTCCACCAACCCTTAACTTAGTTTCATAAAAAATAAAGTAGCTTTATAAAAGGTTTATAAACTGAAAATTGTATGAAAAAGTCCTTTTATAAAGCTCTTTAAACCTACTTTATTTTTTATGAATAAGTCCAAAAATATTTAGAGTTTGATTTTAATAAAAAGGTCAACAACAACTGATCAAAAACAACATTAAGAATATAGAAAAAATTAATTATGAAAATTCTACTGGGAATGGGACTCTAACCCACGACCCCGCGGATCGGTAATTTGCATTACTGCCATCTGCTTAGCCAGACTTTTGATCAGATAATCAGAGCCGTTAGTCCGGGTCAACGTTGTCGTTTGTCTATGCTTTTATAAGCAATTAAAACAAAGTAAAAACGCAAAAAGTAAGAAATTTTTGGAGCTTACCTGAGCTCTTTGTTGTAGTTAACTTTAAGATACAATAAATTCATCAGAAATTAATTTAAGTTACTTGAGTTGCTTGGTTACAGAAATATCACAAACAAGTTGATCTTTCCAGACTAAAGACAAGACCCACTAAATAAATAATGTGTCATAATTATTTATGTTAAAAAAGAAATGGTAATGCTTTTACTAAATATTCCTCCTAAATTTTTTTCAAAGTGGTTTAATTTCTTATCGGGACGGTCACGGTAATTGCTTGGAAATCACATAAATACATACTCCCACAACTTATGGACATTATTCGACTTTTTTCATTAAAATTAGTTACACATACAATGTTCTTAAAATGTTCTTTGCGCAATCTCTTCAAAATTTAATATACTTAGTTTTACTGCTAAAACCAAAATGCAACAACTAAAAATATAAATCACGTGAATCACCTTGGCGGCACTGGACAATCATGATTATGACCACGTCTGTATCACAACAACGCAATCTGCTGAAACTCCGGCAGTTAGTTGGCTCACACGCCAATCTTAAGCTAATAAAAGTATATTAAAAAGCAGCCTACGACAGTGCTTTGCCTTTATTGCACCGCTGTGCCAACTAGTTATTCTTTCTCTATTGTTTACAGTGACTACCTACAATATGTATGCACAATCATATACACATCAGGGGTATGCACGAGCCGGTGCATACTGTCCAGCATGATGCATAGATAGCATAAATAGCATGATTGGCTAATTTTGGTGTTGTCTGAACACATGAAACAACCAAAATCATGCTATTTATGCTATCTATACACCATGCTAGACAGTATGCACCGGATAGTGAATACACCTATTTACATATATCCATACATGCTCATGTGCACACACATACGTTTGTATTCGATCTCCATATGCTATTTAGTATGTATGTACATCTACAGCATCGTAAATATTTAAAGAACTCCAGTGATAAAACTTTTATTGCTGACATTTAAGTTTTGCCACTAACTAGTTAGTAATATAGCACAAACAACAAATACACCCATTTTTACTACCTTCATTCAATTGCCTTGAACTATTTATCCATAAAATGTGACCGGGCCGGGCTTGCGTGTTAGCCATTGGCGTGCTGTACGGGAATGCTCAGCCATACTGAGGGAAACATTTCTGTCAACTTTTAACAAAACAAGCTCTGTGCTTTCTGTAGGTAGGAATTTAGAGTAAATTATAAGGAACTTTTATTTAAAAATTTGATATTTTTATTTAACTTTCATTAAGATAGCATCTTGAAGTACTTCAATTAATGACCAAACATAAAAATATCATTCGACAACTCAATGAATTACAGCTTTGAAGTGTAAATGACCTCAATCGAGACAAGTTGTTTTGTCAAAAGTCCACAGATTTGATATGATGATGTGTATACATACATATGTATGTATGTATGTATGTAGGTGCCACTTTGCTATATTAATTCTCTCGTTTGCTTACCCACACTCATATGTATGTACCTACGTATGTATACTCAAATACAGTGCAGGTGAGGCACAAGTAATTATTTTAATGTGGAAATTGTAAGCCATTAAAGGAGGCGTGCGAAAATGTGTGTCGTTGGGACAGTGTAATCTAACATTTTATGACCGATATGTAGCATACGGCGTTAATGCTCTATCAGTTGGTAATAGGAAAATTAAAATTTGATATCACATGTACTACCTGATGAGATGGGATGTTGAACAGTTCGATGAGCAATTTCTATGTCTCTGACCACTTTAAAAAAAATGATTCGCTATTTGCGTATGTATGTACAACATTCGGATCTTCTAAATAAGGAACCTTATTTTATGTAATTTGGTTTAGTTCTGCATGAGAACAAAATATAATGTCAAAAACGTTACCACAAAAGAAACAAGCAGAAACAAAAATGAGAACAAAAGGTTCGAGAACGTTTCCATAGAGAACAAAATGCGAACAAAACTCTCGGGAACGTTGTCGAGAAAAATGAAATGAGAGCCAAACCTTCTGGAACGTTTTCAATGAGGACAAAATGAGAACGTAGTATCGATAACGTTTTCAAGGAGGGTTAAATAAGAAAAAAAGTCTGATGAACGTTCTACTAGAGAACAAAACGAGAATAAAAATGTTAACGTTAAGAATGAGCCTTTGCGTTTTGGGTTACAAAATCGTTTCAATGAGAATTATGATTATTAATTCTAAGCCAGAAGAAAGCGTCATCATTTCAACTTCCAGATTAGTGATCATAGGGATGAGCTGTCCATTTAGGCGAAACAATTTTTTTCTATGCAAAAAAAGTTCGTTGTCTCGTTGACTTAATTTGCATTATTATCGTTATGTTAAACAATAAATTCGACTAACAATGGTACATAGAAAATATTTGAAAATGAAACTATTTAAATTGCCATTATTTGATACCCCGACCTCGATGTCTTATTTAATTTCCATAAGTTTCTTGTGATTGAAGAAAGTTTTGGAACCCTCCACCAACCGTAGGCATTCTTGGGAAAGTACAATAGTTCGAAAAATGCGGAGTTTATGGATTCTTAACTAAAGAGATCTGATGTGGCAGGAAGTTACCTGTGAAAACCCAAGATCGCGAAGATTGAGCAAACGGGCCGTTGCTTATGATTGCAGATATGTACATTAACGCACAATAATTATTAAAAAAAAACTCAAAAACTGTACAAGCGTGATTTGCGTCGTAACCTTTTCAGAGCTAGCGGCATGCTAATAAATAAATCCCCAAACTTTCAGGTCAAAATTCAGTTGGTTGCGTCCGTATGGCTTTTTCAATTTTAGTTTTAAATGGAAAAATAAAACTAACTCATAGCACTGGTTTACAGAAAAAATTTACCCTGGATGACATTATCCAATTTCTAGCTAGAATCGCTCGCTATTTCCCAAAATCGACTTAGATTTTGTTTCTACGAAGTTTGGCAAGTAAAAGCTAATAAAATTCTACATAAACTGTATATAGAATTCTTTTTAATAAACCCGATAGTTTCTGAGAAACTACTAATCATTTCAGATTATCTATTTATTTTCCGATGACAAAATGAAAAAATGCAAACATTATCAGGGGACTTATTTAAAAAATGACAGAATCTGTGTAGTTTTTTTTCGTTTTTGTTAAACTTGTTTTGTTACAAAAAAATCAGGCCACCAATGAAGAAAACCGATGCATAAATAAAAACGGAATGAGTAGTCAAATGAAAATGTGCAAGGATTTCTTGTTCGAAATATGAGCAAGAAAGAATGTTACTCATACGGCATGTACACTTTAGTAGCTTTCTTTTGTAATAGAACAGGCTACATATATCATACAAATGTATAAAATTTACACTGAATCTGTAATTTTTAAAATTTTTCCCAATCAAAATTTGAGATTTCTTAATTTTTTCATAAAAAAAAACAAAACATCTGGAATGATTAATTAATTTCTCAGAATTGGATAGAGACATCCGGGGGCAAAACAAAACAAATTTGTGAGGCAGTGTTATTACCATATCTGAGCGAAAAAATTAAACGAAAAATAGAAATAACAAAATAATAACTAAATGCAGATTTATTTTACCCATAATGATAACGGTTCCTGGTATTCTCGTCTCAATGGATGCCTGTTTTATAAATATAATGGTGAAAAGTTAAAGTAGAAGCTCATATTTACCATAGTAAGTCAAGTTAGAAAACCATTAAATAGTATTGAAGAGAATCATTTTCTTTGCTCGTTGGTGAAATTTTCAAAATATTTTATAGTCTAATATTACATTTCCATTGACACAAATGCGTCATTTGGGGGAGAAATCTGAAATAGGCCATTTTCTCTTTAACGCAATATTTCTTTGGGTTCTTAAACAAAATTTTCAATTTTATCGTGAGCTTCATTTTCGCTCAAAATCGATCACTCTTCTCTATTCGCGTATGTCTAATCACTACGGGCGGCTGAAAAAGTTTCGGTGAATTTGATTGCGGGAGAAATTCAGGACAACTAATTAGCCATTGGCGTAGTTTAAAACGCCCTTTTAAGAAGTAGGAGCTTAAACAAATTAAAGATTTTTTAATTAAACTTAATATCTTTTATTTAAAAGTCATACCTTCTAAAGATGCTTGCACTATTTTTGACGGCAGCCACAGACATGTATGTATGTAAAAATTAAAAAAAATTTGACCCAATTTGCAAATGAAGTTAAGTCGGATGATTGAAGAATTCGTGTGCATCTACATATTTCTCTAAACCAGCAACGATAATTTCGGTTACTTTTCTACTCAAAATAGTCTAAATCAAACCTAACAATTTTCACATATCTGCACGTGTATGTAAATACAAACACTACACATGTATAAAGGGCATAAAACGTGCGCGCCTGCAGGTCACACAATATAGAATGAGACCACATCAACATACATCCATACATATGTAAGTGCCCATGTACGTGTGTGTGTCGTAAAAAAGCCTTGGTGCCCTCCGCGCATTTAGCGGCGTAGCCAAAATTGTCTACACCTGAAACAAAAATTGCAAAAATAGAACAACATCTTCCCTGTCTCATTCTGACTGTATTTTTTGTTTTGTTTTGTATTTTTCTTGCAGCGAACGGCGTGACTGGGCAACAACTGAAGGGCAGCCAGGCGGATCCGTGCAAGGTGAAAGGACGTGTGGCTGGCGATGAAGTCTATTGCGACCGTTATTGGGAGTGTGTTAGCAGTCAGCCAGAGCTTTACGATTGCCCCAATGGACTGGTCTTCGCCGGGAAGCATCGTGGCGTTACGGAAGGCTGTGATTATCCGTGGCGCGCCAACTATTGCGAGGGCAAGCAATTAGCGAGTGAGTAAAAACGGGGAATGGGGATTAAGTAATTGTGGCAATGGGGGGGCGATGTGTACTCGTAAAATTTAAAAGGTGCCGAGCAATGGCAGGTGTTTTCATCGTTCACTAAATTTTTATGTTTACCCCGTTGACGCTGTTGTGGTCGCTGCACAAATACACACACACACACACACACTTTGAACTGTAAATATCCACTCACCAAGCTCACCAACAAACAAGCAACATATGGTGTCACTGCATTCACTTGCAACACGCGTCATTTGAGTGCCACTATGCGGCAACTTGTTTACCGTTATGTTATGCCACTGCTGTGCTGCTGCACAGCCGGCGTCTATGCAGCTTATTAAAAGTTTTTGCTGCATTGTTGTGCGAAAGTTGCACCTTGTGCTATGCATATACATATATACATATGTTGCAACATGCAACTTACCTACTATGTATCTCAATTTGCTAGATGTGCAATGCAATCGATGGGCGCCAATATCGATACATACATACATACCAATGTACATATGTACATATTAGAGGTTTACGCCGACAGGCTTTGCGGCGGCGGCGTGGTCAACTTCAGAAAGAATCGGCGGCGGCGGCGACGCCGGCGCGTCTAGAAACGCCGGCGCTACTGCCCATAAGGCAGATTCCAAGGAGCCATAAGGCTTCTAACCTTATCATGTCATCAGATTATAATTCTATTTAATTCATTCATTGAATTCAAATGTTGAGTGACTGCTGCTGATGAATGGGCGAACAAAAGAAAGGCTATATAGTATATACATTAGGTTTCCCATCGACAATGCTTTTTTTGAAAATTTAAAGACCCTACCCCCTAATTTGATTCGTTTTTTATGAGAAATATTATTGCATATTTTTATAGATTTTTTAAAGGCCATTTAGAGGTCGCAGCCTGTCGATTTAGGTCAGAAAATACGATTTTCTAGACTCATGAGTTTTTGAATGACTATTTTTGGTTGAATTTCAAAGAATTTTTTAAATTTTGACCATCGATAGTTTCCACAATTTGAAAATATGTAGTACTAACGTGCAAAAAAACGATTTTCGATGGGCACCCTAATATACATACATCTCTTCTATGTACTCTACAAATCCGTATGTACTATTTCAATTCAAACAAATAAAAAAATTTAAAGTTTAAGTTATTGGGGTAATTTATGTCGCTATCAACAAATGTTTGCAATAAGCTTATCAACCGTTATGTTAAATTACGGAGTGCTTACGATTTTTTGCGGGTTATATATTGAAAATAAGGTTGGCCTACTTTTTTTCAAAAGTTTAACCCATCAACTCCCACCAGAACGGGCCTTTTTGACCCACTGTTTGAAAAATGGCTTAAAAATAGTTAAATTTCCACTACTATGTTAAGCGCCAAATTTTTTTAAGGAGAACAGAATGTAATGCAAAATAATAGTAATTTTTACCAAAAAGGGGCACTTTAACTCTGTAGAGAAAATATTGCGATGCGCGGCAGCAAAACCTTCCTGGGGTTTGACCACTACTTAGGAATACTAACGTAATTTTCACACAGCCACCTAGTTCTTGTATACGTCTGTGAGACCCCAGAATAAAGTAACTTAAAAAATTAGCAAAAAAAGTGTTTGCTTTTTATTAAAATTCTGTTGAAAATATTAAAAAAAACACACAGGAGAATCAACTAGTCTTTAGTTGTGTTTTCGTATTCTACAGCAAAAAATATCTAGTAACTTGCCAGTAACCAAAATTCGGAGAGTAAGCCAATATTTACTCCCAATGAGTGAAATACGCAAGAAAGTACGAAAACGCAAAACCAGCAAGAAGTTGCTAGTTTTATGAACAGCTGATTAATTTGTCAATTTCCGATGCATTTTTCTTCGAAAACTAATATTTTCCATCTTATTATATATTTAAATGGGTTTATTTTGTCAATTGCAACTCTAAAAGCACCACAAACAATTATTTTGTTAATGTGAATTACATTAAGCATCATGCCATCAGCTGTTTCTCTTACTAGCAAATAGTTGCTAGTAAAAATTTATCCAGTAAAAATCCAGTAAAACTTGCAAGTTCAGCTGTCATTTCTGCTCTCTCAATTTCCCCTCTTTTGCTAGTTTCTTGCAAGTATTTGCGTACGAAAACGACATCCAGTAAAAAACCAGTAAAATTAGTACTGGATTTACGGGATGGTGCGTACGCGAACAGGGCTTTTGTTTTATCTCCAATAATTGAGGAGTTAGATGCAATAAGGGCGCTTCTGTTAAAACTGCTTTCTGAGATATTGGCGTTAAAGTTTTTGATGTGTATAACTTTCTTGTTGCTGTAGTATATAAAAAAGTAGTATTGAAAAAAATTGTCTACTGCGGAAAAAATCGTCAGATTACCATTACTAATTTAACTGTAATAAACGCTTTCGATCGAAAAACGTGTTACCTATGTTTTTTTCTGAGTTACGCTTTTTTTTTAAATCTTCAGTGGCCCAAATTATGCAAAAAACACTTATTTTAAAAATGTAATTTTCATTTCGTAAAATAGTGTTTTTATACGAGTAGTATTTAGTTCCTTCAAACGATGTATTTCAATATGCATACAACATGAAAATTTTGTACAAAAATCCTTAGGCGCCGAACGCCGCCGCCGCCGCCGCCGCGCCGATATTTTCGTAACTCGGCGGCGGCGCGTGAGAAATGACAAAAAACGGCGGCGGCGGCGGCGTGGCCCGGCGGCGTATACCTCTAGTACATATGTATGTATGCACGCACGCATTCAGACATCCATATAATAAAGTAAGCAAACAGTAACCTGCAGGGCTGTTGCTATCGATTGTGGTCGTTGTGCGGTTGTATGCATTTTTCCGGTGTGGATTCCACTTTAATGGTTTCGTGGCATTCTCTGTGTGCGCGCGCGACATTTAGTAGTAACTAACGCGCAGCAACTGGGCGACATGCATTTGTTTGTGCAGCGGCGTTGCACGCTTTGTGGCGGTACGGCAGGCGTATGCGTTTAGCTCACACACCACACACTTGCCAGCATGTCTCTCATACATACATACATATGTACAAATGTATATTTGCACGTGTCTTTAAATATTTTCCTGTTTCGTGTTGTTGTTTGAAAAGTTTTGCACAGAAAACCGCAGCGACAATTTTGTAAAGTTTTAGTTGCATATTGGAATTTTATTGTGGCATAGTTGAGCTAATTGCGGCCGTAGATGCGCGTGTTCCTGCACCACAATAAAGCAACAACAAATAGGTAAACAAAGCTTTGCTGCTGGCTGGTATGCAGGTAAATCTCCCCTTTTGTATTTTGCATTTTGTATGCGTACATGCAGACATATACAGTTATTATTTGTTAACTTGGTGCTGCATAGCTAGAAGGCTGATAATTGAAATGTGTCGAAAATGATATTTCTATTTTTGCATACGGCTGGTAAGGTCATTTTACGCCACTGCTATGTCAATTTTCATACAATTTATTGCTAAACTTGTCTATTATTTGCCTTTGATGTAGCAGCGGAAATTCGGTTTTAAAAATTAATTTTCGCACAGTGACACAAAGAATACCCCGGTATTGCAATGTTAAACAAGTTTGTGGAAAATTAATTAATTTAGAATTCGGAATCAGATTAAGGAAATTAAAAGGGTGGGATTGGCTCGGAAGGGCTCTTGCCAATTCTGAATGGGCTGCTTGTATGCCTCAGTGCGAATTTAAAATCAGCTGGATTGGGTTTAATTCCAGTCGTCGGTATGCGTTCGTCCGATCGTATTCTATATGCATATTGTCGATGTTTTTGCAAAACCGCCCAAGTCGCCAGGCATCGAGATTTATGCATAAAAATTGTAAAATTTTTATTAAATCAAAATATGTATTTGTAAAATAATAGCTAAAGACCCGCCTGTCAAGGCAATGCCTTCGCTCTCCTGTAAAATTTGAGTGCTTTAAGATAGGCGATTTTGCAGTTGGTCGATGGGCGGTTTTGCAAAAACATCGACGGTGTATGTATGTATAAACCTTGGTGCATGCACCTTATCGACTTCACGCTGCCGCACTTAAATAGCTTCACTGACAGGCCGTCACACAATGGAACTACAGTGTAAAAACATAGCAAAATATCCAACTAACCTAAATCAAAAATGCATATTTGTAGTGGTAGCACGAATAAATATAATGAAAAAATAAACATTTTAAGAAAAAACTTTGATTTGGTTGCAAGTAATTTAAATTGATTTTTCTACTACATAGTGCGATTCTGTAATAAGCCAATCTGATTAAAGTCAAGTTCTTTAATATACCTGTGGTCAAGTATTGCTTAAAATTTTTATATGTATACCTGAAATCCATCAGACAGTTGCATTTGAAATTCTAGATCATTTTGTGAGTATAAAGTTTTTCGAGAGCTTAAAACGGGATATTTAAGATGGATCTAAGAAACAAGCTGAATTATTCTTAGGACTAGTAAACATTAACATGCTGACTTATGCCGAGGACATCGCCATCATCGGTGGCAAAAACCGCGAAGTCTGTTCTGCCTTTTCTAGGTTGGATAAGAATGCAAAGCGAATGGGTCTGGTGGTAACACCTTCTGTAAAATTTATTGAATTTTTATTGTATAGCTGAAAAAATCCGGCTTGCATTAGCTCAGCTTTTGTTGTATAAAATATAGGTAGATTGAAGGTTTCAGTCCAAACGCATATCATGCACATAATTTACTCTGCAGGTATTGTAAATGTTTTCGTTTTGTCTTTTCAAAAAGGAAGAAATAGAAGCTATTTTAGAAATAAAATAAATATATTTGTTAGTTGGAGCCAAAAAATTTAAAGAACCTCTTCCTTGTCTTCTAAGTTAGACATAATTAGAGTAAACCAGCAGGATGAACCAAATTTCATTAAAATATTGTTTTTTTGACGTTTTGGTTAAAATCAACATAAACTCTTAATTTCATAAACATCGGCCAACATTTAACATTTCCGCCCACAAGAGCTGTGGGCGTGGCAGTGCGTCGACTTTTACCATTTTGCCCATTTCTTCATTCTCAAGTGCAGAAATTTCAGCGAATTTGATGAACGGTTACTTCATTTGAACGCATCTTATATGGGAACGTCCCACTGCCCGTCAGCTACAGCAAACTTTGTTGTTTTTCTGTGGTGTAGGGGTTAGAAGTGCGCGCTACCATTCCACAGAGCCTGGGTTTCAGCCCAGGATGACGGAAAATCGTGCCACAATACAACATAGTCCTACCCTGTCGGAAACACAAACAACCTAAACTATCAGAAAATGATTCTAACCCACACAAAACTAGTACTGCTTTCTTACAAAACTATAAATCATTACGAAAAGACTACACTCAATCCTTAAGCTCACCATTCGTTTCGCTACTCGTTTTCAATTTTCAGTTTGCTTTTACAATTAAGAAGCTCTTTATGCGATCTGCTTCTACACACAAATCTTCCAGAACAATTTGGATAATCCGGTCAAACACGAAGAACCACTTATGGTTCTATTTTTCATACAGCATATCAAAGAGAATGCCATAAGCGATTGCTTTTCGTTAAAAAAAGGGAGGAAAGAAAGAAATTGGCGAACAGTAAACAACGAAAACATAACCAAATACCGGATTTAACATCAAAAGCCAATTTATGAGTGCAGAACACCTAAGCAGGACACAGAGTGCTAAATCTTATAGTACAATATGACAAGATGCTATTTATGTGGGAGGGGAAGGCAATAAGCACTGCACTACAGGACATCCAATTCAAATGGGTTGTATGTAATGCAGCTGCTCCACCACCAGCTTACCCACAGCCAATTCATTAACGAAAGCCGAAACAAGTTCATACGGTGATATGCTGGCACGCTGGCACGCTGGCATACTGGTACGTTAGCCTCCTGATATGTGGTGGCCGGGTATTGATGCTGCTGGATTGTAGATATTTCTGTTTGTGCGGCGGTTTCATAAACGACCCTATTTGATTGCACTTTATTGCCTACTCAACACAATGCATGACACACACACACACACACACACTTTTACAAATTCGTGCACACATTTTTGTTGTTGCTTTTTTTTCAAAATCCTAATTCCTTTTCTCACTTTCAGATGGTCCCATATCGACAGAACATTGCGACTGGCTGTATGGCATCTTTGGTCATGAGACATCGTGCACACGCTACTGGACTTGCTGGAATGGCACCGCTACAGAGCAGCTTTGCATCGGCGGTCTGTTGTACAATGAGAATGCCCACAGCTGCGATTGGCCGGAAAATGTGGACGGTTGTCAGAAGCATCGTAAGTATTACCAGCATACAGTGTTGTAATGGTGGGGGGGTTATGGTAAAGGCAAAGAACACCAAACACCCACATCTAGGTATGCAAGCGATTTTCCTTATACGTACATACATACGTACGTATGTTTCTAGCTCTTTGTTAGACAATCTTTTATGACGTTCCAATGCGCATTTACGCCTGATCAAAAGCGTGTTAAATTTTCAATGACTTCAGCTGGTAATACTGTTGCAAAGGCTTGCTACAAGTACAGCTAGCTACCCACATTTATTGGGAGTACAACATGGTTACAACAACAACATGGGGGCAATTAAATCTTCTTAAGGCTTGCCAACATTGCTGTGTGCCTTGTTCCAATAGCCTTCGTCTTGTCTTTTGCCTTTGCGAATTAGCAAAATTCAGATTGATTTAGAAGCACTTATGTGTGTCTAAATGGCCAAAAAGCATTTTGTAGCAATATTTCGGTTTAATGTTGAAATCGGTTCAATAAACTACATACGTCGTAAGGTATATGTACTATTAAATGGGCGTCAGTAGCAGTAATCTCTTCTTCTCAGCGCTGCGTAGTTTACGTCCATTCGCACTAAACGACCAAACCGGAGAACCGCTGTATGTTTATTCGCTGAAATACATACATATTTCTCTGCCATTGTAAATATTTCTTTCGAATACTGATCTGATGTTGTCATTATCAAGGTTTCTATGGGATTTTTGTACGACGAGAAAGGACTTTTTTAAGTTCATGGTAGCACTTGTTGGCAACAGTGATTCTCCGCTGACGTCATTATCGGTATTATGGCAGCCCCAACTTTTTCATATCAGTTATTCTTAGCAACTCCTAAAAGCAATTTGACGATTCATTCTAAGAAACTGTGTCTGGAAATACCATGCAAGAATTCTGAAATATTCGTCCCATACGTAAAGACTATTATAGAAATATAGCGTGACATCGACTATATAGTTTGTGACTCCGTTAAAGGAGCCACATCATAGCAATATGGCTGACAATGAACAGGAAAACACCCCGAGGTCGGACTTCTCGCAGCCACCCGCAACTATAGCAGAGAAACACGTCCACGGAACTGATGCCAGCGAAGAAATCGCCAATATAACAGTAAAGCTATCGCCGTTTTGCAATGCTCGCATCAAAAACGTAACGACAAAGTACCACACTGTCATGGCGACATTATTTTAAACCCGCCACCAACCGACATGTACGATACCTTAAAAGCGCTTTCGGAAGTGGAACGATTCGGCGAATGCGAACAAAGATGAATTAAAAAATTGCTACGACAACCATTTAAATGGACCTTTGTTATCGCTGAGAGCTCACAGCCTTTAGTCAGTGCAGACCGGCATATTCATTTCCATTTGTTAGTCAACCTTCGACATCGCTTGCTATTCGATGATGTCCCGAATATTTCAAAGAGTTGCGCGATCGTCAATGTTCCTGACGACATCATGAACATATCCGCAATCAAAACCAAAATGCTGTTTCAAAACATTTTAGACAAGCTGAAAGACATCATGGGTATATCGAGCACGTTCCCGAAAGACATATCACACCAAGTCACGAACTGCATTGTGACGAGAGGATCACCACCTTTTGCAAAGTCTCGTCATTTGGCACCTGACTTACTGAAAGCGACGAAAGCTGAAGTCGAGTCGTTGTGGGAAGGCGGTATATGACGACCACCAAGAAGTCTGTGGAACTTGCCTTGGTATGTAAGAAAACCGGCGACTGGAGACCATGTGAAGTCTTCAGTCGACCGAACGGTGTTACGAAATCGGCCTCATATCCGTTGCCGCATTTCCTTGATTTTAATCAAACTCATCACGGATACACGTTTTTCGCAACGATCGACCTAAGACGCACGTAAAACCAGATCCCAGTCTAACCAGAAAACATACCGAAGACAGCTATAACCACCCGTTTGGTATGTACGAATTTTTTTACATGTGTTTTGGTTTAAGGAACGCTGGCCAAACTTTTCAACGATTCATGGATAAGGTTTTGCACGAATTCAACTTTGCTTGGCTTTATCTGGACGATATCCTTATCGCGTCTAAGGGCATCAGCATCATTCACGAAATGTTTTTGTAAAATTAGCGTGGTGTCGTCATTAACTCATCAAAGTGCGTCATTGGCAAACCTGAAGTCATGTTCTTAGGTTGTAATGTTTTCAAAAATGGTATTTCGCCTCCAGAAATCCGAGTTCGAGCCGTCAAGGCATGCAATAAACCCGAAAGAGCGTGCGACTTACGACGCTTTCTGAGTATGATACAGTTTTTTTTTTCGTAGATTCATGCCTAAAGCCACATCAGATGAAAAGGCTAAAGCCGCTTTACAGTGTTGTAAGGACGAACTATTTATGCACTGGAAACAGGTCCTCCGCTGACTGTAGCAGTCGGCGCATCCGGCACTGCAATAGACAACAGTCACTCACTAAGCTTTTACTCAGAAAAGCTAAACCCGGCTCAAAGGTGTTACATCACATACGATCGCGAACTCTTGGCCACTTACAAGAGGCCACTTACAAGAGCGTCAAATATTTTCGGTACATGCTCGAACGGAAACAGTATTACGTGCTCACAATTCGCAATTAGTAGTTGTGAGGATCGAATGACGAAGTTGTTCATAGTCTGTTGCGCTTGCAGCTTTACGACGTTGGCCGCACATTATTTAGTTTATGCTAACTTATCTTGGCAGCAACATGATATTGGTCTTAGTCGACGAGTGGTCCTCGGATCATGATCAATACATTAATAATGGACTTAGTCTTCCAGACTATCATATTTTGCGCCATAAACCAATCATGATTTTTTATTATGCTTGGGAGAGCGCCAATGGCGTAGCTTACAAATGAGGTCGGAACTTTAACAACTTAATACGAAAACTCGTAATTGTGTGCGTAGGCGAACTTTTTACTATGCTCTCTTCGTTTTCACTTAACGTCTGCGTTTCTCTGCAAAAGTTATGCCGGTCTTCAAACCATTTTACTGCTGCCTTAATTTCTGACAATATTTTTTCGCCGCATTCCTGCCTGCCAGCATATCAAGCATTTTGACTTACGTCCTTCTATCTTCTGTTTTATTTTTCGCAAAAATACGTTTCTCTTTCGGAATTGGCTTCAAAGAGGCTTGGTATGCTGCATATTTCTCTACAACATTGCGCAGCACTCTTCGTCATACCAGCTGTGTGGGAGGTTTTAGTAGCCAACCGCAGTGCTCATTTATGTTCGGTCTATTGTTTGTTTGCAATCATGTCCCATCCATCGTATTTTCCGTACTGTAGTAGTGTCAACCTTGTATTTTTGTAAGCAAATCCGCATATGATAAAGAACACCCTTCTTATGGAGAGTCCGGATGTACAAGATGCATGTTCGTAAAGCGTAGTCCCTGTTTGGTGAGTCTGCATCGTTAAAGCTTGTGGGCTGTATGGTCTTTCCCTTGGATCTGTTTTGTATCTGATGGGTCCCAAAGATTTTAGAGATTCTCTTTTATATAGCGGGTGTCTTGCTTGAAGAAAACAGACGCTTGTTTGTAGCCGCATTTTCGGCTGTACTGTGGGCTCATTAATTACTGATTAATTAGTTACGCAGAGTTCATGAATGGGGAAAGAAGATTCGCTATTTAGTAAAGTCGTGCAACTGTAACTGCATACTCAGAAGAACGACCATACCACATTTAAAATGTTTGCCTGCGATAAATAAGTGTATTTCATAAGGTTCTAAGTGACATTTTTTGAAAATATAAGTTATACTCATACTTGTATAGTTAAATATACTATTTATTTGGTGAAAAAGAGTAAACATTCGTTGAATTAGTTAATTAACCTGCATTCATTTAGATAAGAATCATTTCAAATGAATCTACCCAGAATTTACAATAAGTATTCAACTTTAACTTCAGTTATCTTAAAAAAATGTCAGACCTACTTAGATCCTTTTGATTCTAACCCCTACATATATAAGCAGCTTTTTCTGAATGACAGGCATTCGCTTTGCAGCCGCTTCTTCTGGTTATCAAACGCTGCTCTGTGACGCCTTAGCGCAAATAAGTTGGAGTGGACTCCTCGAATCTCCTTTTCTCTTTGCTCTACACACCAAAAAGCATGTCTAGAAGACCCGTTATACCTTATTGCATTCCGTTGGATACAGGTAATGCTATTTATTCGAATGAGTATATAAACCTTATTGCCAAAAGGTACAAAACTCCAACACTCTTTGACTCCTCCGATTATTAAATTTTCAAAATATGAGTGGTAAATTGTGCACCTAGGTTAGCTAAGTATATATTGTGGTGGCTGACCTCATCTAGGCGTGACAAGCAATAAAAAAATGTTCTGAGCGATACTACCTTGCTCAGGTGATTTTTCGCTATTCAAGTTCTTTTGTATTAAAGGTCACGTTAGCTCACAACCAGATCCCGAAGCAGTTTTTGAAGTGAAACTTCTTTAGCGGCGGCTGGGAGTAAATTGGTAGATTCAACGGAAATTGCACACGGGAATGATGCAACGGAAATGGTTTGGGCTGAAACAAGTGCTTCTTGAGTGTATGCACATGGTGTGAATTTCACAAAAATTTGCTAATATAACGTTAAAGAATAACACTTAGAAAAACACCAATACAAGAATGAAAGTAAAGGGGAGCAGGTACATACTAAGATAAAGAAAAGGATAGAGGAAAAGGCAAAAGTAAAAACAAAAACAAAGATGCGTAAAGATAAAGGCAAAAATGAAGATCAATGTAAATTTGAACACTCTACTTAAGTGAAGGGGAATATGTAGATGAAGAAAAGTATAAACACAAACGTAAAAACAAAGATAAATATAAAGAAAAAGATGAGGATGAGGACACCGATAAAAGTAAAGATGAAGATAGAGGAAGAAAGATTAAAATAAAGGTAATTATGGAGAAAAGGATATAAATGGAGAAACAGAGACTCAATCTGTGAACTATTTTGGGATTTGAGAAATTTTTGGAATTCTCGGGACTTATCGATATAATAGCCGATATTTTTATCGCTTTTGTTATAGATTTTATTATCGAAAATTTTACCGATATTGCTATCGATTTTGCTATCGATATCTTCGGAACCTATCGATATAATAATCGATTTTGTTATTGATATTATTATCGATTTTGTTATCGACTTTGCAATCGATATTTTTAACGATTTCGTTATCAATACTTTTTATCGATATTGTTATTGGTTTTGTTATCGACATTGTTGTAGATTTTTTTGCCGATATTTTTATCGAAGTTGTTATCGATATGTTCAACGATTTTGTTATCGATTTTGTAATCGATTTTGTTATCGGTCATTTATCGACATTGTTATCGATATTTTTATCGATTTTGTTATCGATATTTTTATCTATTTTGTTATTGATATTTTTATCGATCTTGTTATCGATACTTTTATAGATTTTCTAATCGATTTTGCTACCAAAATTATTATCGATTTTTCTATCGAAATTTTTATCGAATTTGTCATCGATTTTGTTATCGATATTTTTATTGGTTTTGCTATCCATATTTTGTTGGATGTTACTATCGATTTTGCTATCTACATAGTATAAAGATAAAAATGAAGATAAAGGAAAACAGAATAACATACAGAATAACAAGTAGGGATCTAGATAGAAAACAGACAAAAAATATAACCTTAAGCAAAAGTAGATGTATGTATGTATATTGGTTCTGAGACAAAATAGTTATGTAACGTAAGTTTCACTTCTCCAGTGTGGCCCAGGTGCACTTACTTTTGTTTTATTTAAGACACGTTTAAATAGGTAACTACTTTTTCCAAGGCAGATACCTACTAGCTGTACCTTCTGTTGCACTTGCGCTGTAATGAATCCTTAAATAAATATACCGACAGTGCTAACCCATGCAGATTAGTTCAGTTGCATTTCGTCCTCGGGCGGGTGTTATTAGTAAAGTATAAAATTGTACAAATAGCTTGCTTCAATTTTAGTTTAACTCCTATGAAATTCCCCGAATTTTCAGTAATAGTTTTAAATAGTCACTTTGCCCATTCTTCCTACTAACTTCCACACTTACAAGAATGCAAAATTTGTTAGACCAGAACACTCTATATATTCGTATTTAACAACAACTGTATTTAACAGTTCTCTAATTGTAATTAGCTTGTTGCACTAAACCTAATGAGTTTATTTCTGTTTTTGTTGTTGTTTTTATTGTTTCACAGCTCTCTGCAATGAGGATGCCAACGGTAATGTCCCACTGGGTAAATCTTGCAACCGTTATTGGCAATGTCAGGGTGGCTATCCACGCTTACAACGCTGTCCCGCCATGTTGGTATTCGATCGTCATTCGTTGCGTTGCGTCGTCCCGCCAACGGAGGAGTGTGATATACCCACAACGCCAGCGCCACTAGATGGAGAAGGAGAGAATAATAATGTTGGCGGCGGTCAGCTGTCCAAGGACGAACAAGAACGGAAGGTAAGTTTTAACAGTGATTTATGAGTGCATACACTCGTACAATGGTAGAAGATTGTGTGCGTGCACTGGCTTGTGTTTAGCCAACGGGAGCGCACCCGAACGGTGTGGTCACTGAGCTGTGTAGACTACTTTTAGCCGCCCTAAAGCGCTGGTTACTCACAATTGTTCGATGAATTCCACGGCTTGGCGCGTTCTGTTATTGTAGTTATGTTTACAGACCAAACCGTGTATGCTTGCAGACAGCAAAATTTTGTGGCATTGCATTAGCATATTTTGCGTGCAACCAATGATTAATTGTTCCAGCTGGCTGACTTCGATGCCCCATTGCCCTCTGGCTATAGACATCAGCACATCGACAGTTCAATGTTGGTTGCAGCTTGTTTGATGACAAATTTCGATGCCTAACCGTATGTGCGTAAACATTGTAGAATAGTGTCCACTAGAATTTCCCACGCGCATGAATTTTGATGATGGACAATTCAATGAGTTTGAAAAGGAATGAAGTTTGTTGAGAATATAATTTGTTAATTTTTTATGTGGCCAAACTCATTTTGGAAATGCATCAAATACTTGGCACTCCTCCTAAATAATTTACACACATTTTATGCTATAAAATTAAAAATAATGAAGGTTTCAGGACCAAATGTATTTTTAATATTTACTGATAAACATATGTATAGGTATACTAGAAGGAAATACTCATTCGAAATGTCCACCTTTGACCTGCCTATCGTCAATAACTGCGCGCATCTCGTTCATTGGAGAATCGGCCACAGCATTAAATGAAATATATCTTAAGAGAACCAATGTTGGGTTATCTTTTGTGAAAAACTATGTCCTTTTAATATTTCCACTTTTCTTAAACCAGCGGATTCAGGATTGCCAGAGGGCCATTCTTCAGAGGAAATGATTGCTGTCAAATTGCTTTGGGACCAGGTTCGAATCGTTTAGGAATAGAAATTGGTTAAGCGGCTTTACAACAGCTTTCAAAATGTTTTCTTGCTAAACCTTCGCCGATATTTTGACCCCTTTTTGCAGAAAGGCAAGTCTGTGACAACATCGTAAGGGGCACACTACCAAACGATGACTGGACCTGGATGATAAATAATTTATGAGATTGGAATTGAAAAATATTGTTATGAAAAGTTATATATCGTTGGCTTAGTTCGCAAACGTGCTAAGTCCATTTTTTTATTTTTTGAGGAGGGACAAAAAACCGTATAACTTTTTTTGTCGTTAATATTTTCCTAATCTGTAAATGCAGTTTTCTTCCTTAGTTCGTGCTCGGTGCCCGGTGGTGAAAAGCTGTGAAGAAGCATGTACCAGTACCAAGGCCTGATGAATACATGCCTGAAGATTTGTATCTCTGTCCAATCTACAAGTGGGTATATCCCGCCATTTGCGCCAATTATCGAGTACTAGGTCTAATCGACTTGTCCTTGAAAGACTGAAGACCTTCATCGGCCAGCTGCTTGAAACTTATCCGTGTGGGTTCACACATAAAAAATCCAACAGCGACTAGATTTTCAAGCAGAGTCAAATCATATAGAATACACTAGATATACAATTCGACAGACGCCATGTCTTAATTTGGGATGCTTCAAATTTAATTCGGCTGAGTAGAGTTTCGTTGAGCACAACTTTCAGCTCTATCTAAATTCAGAAGGACTTCTCAGCTCCGTTCGAAACCTAACGAAGCTTATTTGCTTTCTCTATTAGCGATTGTTCATCTGCTGTGAGAAATCTCCGCGAGCTATCGCAGGCGATGAACTATAAAATAGTGAAATTCAAAGCTTTTTTTAAGTTAGAATTTTGATGAAGGTGTTGTTTCTGGAATGTATAGTATATGCTCGAAACAACGTGTAGTAAGCACGTTTTGATTTAAAATCTTATGCGATAAAATGTCCAAGTTAGACAAGACGAATCACATTTGTGTGCCTTCTTCACAGCGGCACCGTGCATGGTATGTACAAATATGTGTATGCAAATGTCATTGACATCGTTGGCCTCAACAAAATGGGCCATTGGCGTAGCATTTTTCAGCTTCGAACAAAAAGCAAAAGACGCCGGTCTTGCGTTGAACGAGGATACGACAAAGAACCCCTTGCAATATATTTATAAAGGGTCTTCGCGTATTGAGATACACGTCGCTGTTGGTAATTATAACTTTGAAGCAGTGAGGAACTTCATCTTCCTATGATCCAGAATAAACACCACCAATAATGTCACCCTAAAGATTAAGCCAAGAATAACTCTCGGTAGGTGCTTGGTAGGTAGTTTAGGATTTCGAGATAACTAGTTATGCAAGATCTTTAGCCTTTAACTCCGAAGAAGAAGGGATGACAAACTCTATAGAGCTTTGTAATGATATGAACATAGCTAAGCGCATAAAATCAACGTAAACATGAATTCTGATGCTCCGGTGAAATGAGCCTTCGACAATAGAAGGAGCACTTGTAGAAGGAGCTGTACACTCTTCATTTGAAAACATAAGTTCGCAAAAGAGGGATGCAACTAGGGTTGCCAACATTTTCTAAGAAATTTATAGTACTTTTTCAAAGAAATCTGAAAAAAACATAGTACACATCAAATATATATAGTATTTTTTTAAAGAAAAATTAAAAATGCTTTTTAAGTGTACATCTTTTTTATCTCTTATGCATTTCCTCTATAAGAAAATATATTTGTTTGAAAGTATCATATGCTTTATCGCAATCAATATTTAAATTAATATAAATCAAAAGTTAATTTTTTATTAGTGAGATGGTCGCTGTATTTCTCTCATTTCACTATTTCATAATCTTAATAGAAAAAACTCTTTCTGAAAATGCCGAAGTTACAGGAATAGAGAGCATAAGCGAAATAATTTTAAGTAAATTTGGTAAATCTTTCTAAGTATTTTTAAAAATGTTGCCATTTTTGATCTGTGAACCCTTTGTTTTAAAGTGTATTTCTATTAGTATTGTTATTTCAGTATAAATGTCATCCATTTTATAACATTTATTTCTTGCAAATTACTGAAATATAAGTATAATAACTGAAGAAATATAGTATTTTTGCATACTATATTTTTTCCAACAGTAGACCTAAAAAATAGTACAATACTATATATTATAGTACGGTTCGCAGCCCTAGATGCAACTAGCCCAGCTTAATGTTCTCGGCTCGACCAACAAATGGTTGTACCGCCAAGAAGGAAGAAGCAGTTACAAAAAAATAATATTTGTTTTAATTATATCTGGATAACGCATTTGTGTGGTTAGAAAATGATTTCCAAAAGATCATAAAAACATGAATTTTATTTAAACTGCCACTTTTGAAAATTCTTATGATATAACATTTGTACATCGATATGCAATCTTAATTGTTCAATGACTTGTAGTTCATTACTTTCTTGATTTACGCAACTGGAGAGTTGCATATGTGTTGCAATGACTATTTCGCGACGCAATTTCTAACTTCGGTTACATCTACATACTTTACTGCAAATTCTTAATTCGCACTCATAAGTTCTAGTTACTTCTCATCGAGCAGCAATTCAACGACTACGGCACACAGTGCTTGGAGAAGGCATGTTTTACGCGAAAAATTAGAAGAGCTGTTACGATTATCATAAAACCGCGGGATTGTAGTATTGTTGCACTGCTAAAATATGCCTAAAATGTTTAGTTTCACAGTTGACAGCTGCCATTAAGAAAATCTTTTTTAAAATACCACTGATTACGTTTTTTGACATGCTGATCACGAATTTTATGTCAAATTAAAACCTTTACAGTTGACAGCTGTCAAATGGGCTGTGAATTTTTCTACAAATAAGACAATATTTTTAAAAATTCCATTATTGGTGGTTTGTAGATATGTTGATCACGAAATTAAAACTTTGAGAATTGAAAGCTTTCAGCAAATATTTATTAAGATGCTACTGATAATGGTCTTAGGCACGCTAGTCACGAATTTACGTCAAATTATAACTTTAAATGTTTACAAATGTCGAAGGGGCTGTCAGTTTTTCTACAAATAAGGAAAAGTCTCAAGAATTAAACTTACTATGTTGTAAGGCTCACTGATCTCGAGCAGTGATGGAAAAGTAGGTACAATTGTAATTTTTTATAATTTGAAAGTATATTCGGTACATATAGTCCATTTTCGGTACATTTTATACTAAGCCAAATAAATTTTCCAGGAATTTTTCCTCCTTGTCGTTATACCAACCAAGTGCAGACGTATCCATTTGGGCTTCTCTCGAGTGCACTCGAACTCATCTCTTCTTTATCAGACATTGTCTATTTACGTTGCTCTGTCATATGAGCAGACAAGAATGATCAGAGATTTGTCAAGGTTGATTTTTATTCATTTAGAAGCCCCCTGCTAGGCCTAAGTAAACACCAGCGGACAAGAGTTAAGCCTTTTTCGATCTCTGACTGCCATTAAGCTGGCTTCTAATTAAACAAAGTCCTTTAAGGCGCATTCACCGTTCTAGTTCAGAGAGCAACTGAGAAAAGTTCTGAAAGCTTTTGAGTTGTGAACACAACTTCACGTTTAGTTCAGAACTAGAACGATGAATCCGCTCTTATTGCTTCGAAGAAATGACTTTCAACCGTGCCTTCCTCGTTCTCTGCTAAATTAATCTCTTTTGATTTTTTATTAAGGTTCAATAAATGCTCGAAAGATTCAAATCTAATTGCATTTAATGTGAAATAGGACAAAACATATTTTTAAACGTCGGTTGATTTACATAAGTTATACAGTAGACCTCTTAGAAGCTAAATCGCTATACGAAAACACCAAGCGAATATGAGATCCTGGTTTATATAGAGGGTTTGGGCGAACAAAAGATTCAGAAGCATGGTCAAAAGAGCTCCTAGTGAGTGCTGGAAAGCTGGCGCAGCTCGTAGGCAGGAGTTGACGAAAGAAAGTAATTCGCCTTCTCTAAAAGTTTATTCGTTCTCGGAAAGTTCTTCCAGTTTGAGAACGTAATCCTAAAATCAGGCTTAGTAGATTTTCGTCATATTTTCGTACTGCTGAACAAGTTGTTGACG